ATAAACCCTGTTCAGTACGAATTTTGTGTTGAAAAACATGTCAAAGAAGCAAGGAACATCAGATTATAAATTTGATCCGTTAACAAGTTAAATTTAACTGGGATACAAGTCAAAATTTTAGCAGTAATTCCTGGTTAAATTAACCAGGAATAACTGGTTAATCAATGGAACCAGGATTTCCTTGTTAACATAACCAGGACTGCGTCGGTCCCATATGGAATACTTTCCTGGTTAAAATTTAACCCCATATTGGTTAAATTTAACCAGGATGTTTTTAGAAATTCCTGGTTAAATTAACCAGGAATAACTGGTTAATCAATGGAACCAGGATTTCCTGGTTAATATAACCAGGACTGCGTCGGTCCCATATGGAATACGTTCCTGGTTAAAATTTAACCCCATATTGGTTAAATTTAACCAGGATGTTTTTAGAGTGTAGAATTAGGAACATTAAGGAATTCTATGAAACGATATTTGAATTTTTTTTTCAGATTGTAAATCTGAATTTATATCAGTATTGAAGCACTATTCAATAATAGTAGTACGCCCTTGTTTTCCACATCTGTCATAATCATGAATCATGATAACAGACAGTCGTATATAGCAATACCACATGATACAAATTTTTATGTTATGATTGTTATATTTAGGCTCTAATTGTGCAGATGTTTGTTACTTTAATGCTGATTTTTGAAAATTCTCAAGCTTCAGTCTTGATATCTTGCTTATCCTTAAAAATTTCCTGTGAGATTAAAAAAATTTCCTGGCAGAATGCTGCCATGCTGGCGGGACTTTCTCATGCCTTGCATGTGTTACAGGATATATAAAATAGAGCTCAAATTGTACCACGTAAACTAATTTAGTAATTATACTTTTATTGAATTTATTAATTTATACCTTGACTTTAGCTAATCAAACATTCCTTGCGACCATATATTTTAATCCCACAAGGGAATTCAGACTAACAAATGTTTCTAACAGTAGCCAATCATAACAAGACTTTCGTAAGCAATACCAATCATGCATAGCTGCATATACTAATATGCAAATTCGAGGCAAATTTGAAAATTTCTTTTCGGAGCTTTGAGGCGCCATTTGACACGAAGTTTAGCAAAATCCACATATTAAACATGGCCAGAAATTGCGGACATGGATTCTGAGCATGTGCGAACTTTGACAAACAAAATGGCGGATTTGTTATATATAAATCATTAGGAGTGGCGCGGTTTTTTTTAATTTCAACTTGTTTGATAATAGCTATGTCATTTGCAGACTTCGCAATAATATAAACTATATCTGGACCGTAAAACAGAAACGTTTCGCATCGAAATCTTACCTATAAACAGTTCCATTATTCAAGTTCACTTCATAGTAAATCGGCGTATAATAAAGTATAGTAAAACTTGAGAAATTCGTTGAAAACTTACATTTTGCTTAGGCCGCATGTATCCCTCGAACCCTTCACGAAATTTGCAGACTTCGCGTCGTAAAATATATGTTGTCCCCTGCTTGTCTGCATAATTTCATAGTGATACGAATTTTTTAAGTTGTTCCAATTTACGGTACAAAATGTTGATATTTTACACATAAATATCCTGACCATAGGCCGTAAAACATTGCAAGAAGAACGATGTTTCATGAATTGTCGTCCATGTTTGATATCAACAAAAAGCTTAGGAACCAGGCTTTCTTCCAGTGTGGGTTATACAGAGGGATAGCGATGTATACACAAAATAGTTGAATCGTTTATCATGCGCATCACTTTATATCCCATCATATATAATAAATGAAAGGTATGCATAGCATTGTGTCCTCATGCACGGCATGCAACGTGCGGGCTGAAATTACCCTGGCTTGCGAGGTTGCATGCACCCTACTTTATGATTTTACTCTGTCTAATGCCAGTCTATTTTATTCATTGAGGGGAGTGTGCTACCCCTTAATGGATGATGTGTCTAGTTACCCATTGCATTGCACCCCATGTCTCGTTTTCTTATTTTACTCTGTCTAAAACCAGACAATTTTACTTGTCAACGGGAGAGCATGCCAGCTCAATGGGCTAACCTTTTGAGTGGCATTGTCCCTATTAAAGTGCCTACCTTCACTCAATGGGTTAAATAATATAAACTATTATGATCTTATTAATATAAACTGTTACTATAATATAAATTATTATCTTATCTGACCGCGTAGCTCAGTTGGCAGAGCATTGGGCTAGTATTGCAAAGGTCGTAGGTTCGAATCCCACCGTGGATATTGTTAAAAGCGTAGGGTCGCGGTTGGTCAGTGGTAATAACCATGAGAAATAAGAACCAGTAGTCATGGCAATGGCGTAATATTTTGGCTTCACTTGAATGACTGTAGGAAAGATAGGAGCACCTCCTCCAGTAATATTATAATTCAGTGAATTTAACTCACAAACGACATCGATGATTGATAGCCAAATTTTATTTTATCAAGTGATTTATCTTTGTATACTCAACTATTCTGACAATTGTGAAAAAATGCATGTATCAAATATAAAATTGCAGTGGCGAAGCCAGCCTTACAATTTGGTCGTGCTATTCATATTCGGTATTCATACACCGTGAAAACAATCAATTTCCAAAGAATTAAAATTGAATAAGATAATGATTTAAAATTTGTATAGCACGCATGACCAAGCTGTCTGGCTGGCTTTGCTACTATAAATGAAAGATGATACACTTGATATTCGTTTTTAAAGGCAGAGATGAAAAACTTGATAATCTTGATGTTACTCTGAGTGTATATCCACACCGGGCAAGCATGAAAAATATGCCCGGCCACGGTGGGAAACGAACCTATATACGACCTTTGGAATACTAGCCCAATGCTCTGAAAACTGAGCAAGTATTCCAAAGGTCGTAAGTTCGATTCCCATCGTGGCCAGGCATATTTTTCAAGCTCGCCCGGTGTGGATATACACTCAGAGTAACATCACAAACATCATATTCACCTGAATACACAACACCAACACAGAACCCCCCCCCCCGAAAAAAAAACCCAAAAAAAAAACAAAACTTGATACTCGTTTATAAACGAAAGATGAAAGACTTGATACTCGTTTCTAAAGGCCGAACAGGTTTATTGGACATTAGATAAACAGATTATATACACACTAGACCTGCTTCCCGCTACAACATTAGGTGCCACGATACAGACAATTTTATGGCCTTTAAATGTAGAACAGAATATTTCAAAAACTTACAATGTGGAACTCATTAGATAATAATCTCAGAACTGTCGGTAGACTTAAAACTGTTTTACTATACAAAACATTATAAAAAATTTTGGGAATATTTTTTTTTGCGAACTTCCGCATAAATAGTTAGGCCTAATGTGATGTAACTGATGTAATCTATTATTTTCAGAGCTTTTTTATACTGTAATAATAATTGTTGTAACTTAATTATAATCATAGCATACTAGTAGTCTCATTCAACTGGGACTTTCCCTGTTTGACCACAAGTTGCTTTCTTCTATAGCTAGTAATTAGGAATGAGGAAGCAACGAAGTTCGTACATACAAATACTAATAAATACAGCTTGAAAAGGGCGATCTTTTTATCGTAATCCAATTGCTGTTCCATTTGCTTCAATCCAACGATCACTGGATGTATAACAACCTGATGTGTAATGCACTTCAGTTAAGTAAAAGAAATTGCTAGGTATTCTTTCTGTTGAAACCATTCCAGTGTTCCTCCAATCGACCGCAACCCATCCTGTTTCGTACACCTGGGTATGGGTGTAAATCGTACTCGTCTTCTCTTCACGATTGTTGGGAAAGAATGCAAAGTAAGCGGTGATGGGGAAAGAGTGACGATAATAATATTTCACTTCCATATTGTTGGACAGGAATCCGCTAGTGTAAATTGATGTGCTCAGATAAAAATAGTCTAACATGAACGAATTTGCAGGAATGCTGTAGGTTCTACCAGAGCCTAATAAAGAAAATAAGATTTACTAAGCCGAACGTTTTGTGTAGAAGCTTACGAGAATTGGAATTCTACCAATATATACAATGATTCATAATCCAAAATTCGCGTTTCCACTATCAGAAGTTGCTATCGTCCCAAGTTACCACTTATATTGCCATTGCAACGACAACCACCATTACTACCCCAAAAGGTAAACAAATGCTTTGATTTGTCGAGAACAATATTCGCCCGTGTTCATTACAACGACAACCACCATTAACATGGTAGTGGACAATAAAAACACTGGTTAGGAAACTGATTATCACGCAAAACTAAAAAACTGATTATCTAGTTTCAAACTAAAAACTAATAAAATGATTATCTATTATTTTTATTATTATTATTAATAATATATATTATTATTATTGATGCAATTGATACACCATGCAGAAATCTTAGTTTAAAGAAAAAGAGCAGAGCCCAGCAAATAACTTTAAAGCCAAACATAATAAAAGTAAATAATTTATTAGCTAACGTTTCGTTGTTTACAACACAGCATCTTCAGAGCAATCTAAATGAATTTACAGGGTATGGTATATATATTTACAAAATAATGGTTTAATATTACAAAAACGGTTACATAGTTTAAAAGAACAAATGAATAGAAAGAAAGGAAAACAACTTATCAGTAACTAGTTAATAAGTAAAGATTAATGTTAAGTGCATGGTTAGTATAGTTAAGGTTAATATTATATTACATAACTAAAATAACTCAAGAGGGTTAGATCAAATTTTAGCATTAAGGACACTGGGTTAAGTTCAGAAATTAATATAGGCTTTAAAGAAACGCCTAAGAACGCCTTGTCAGCCTATTAATTTCTTAACTTAACCCTGTCCTTAATGCTAACATTAGATCTACCCCCTCTTGAGTTATTTTAGTTATGTAATATTAACCTTAACTATACTAACCATGCACTTAATTAACATTAATCTTTACTTATTAACTAGTTGCTGATAAGTTGTTTTCTTTTCTTTCAGTTCATTTGTTCTTTTAAACTATGTAACCGTTTTTGTAATATAAAACTATTATTTTGTAAATATATATATACAATACCCTGTAAATTAATTTAGATTGCTCTGAAGATGATGTATTGTAAACAACGAAACGTGCTAAAAAAAACTTTTTACTTTTATTATGTTTGGCTTTACAGTTATTTGCTGGGTTCTGCTCTTTATCTTTAAACTAATATTTACTTTGATAATTATCATAATAAACGCAATCTAGTTTTTAGATTTTCTTTCAAATATCTCATTTAGAATCACTGCAAAGTCGCAATAATTCTCATCAATTTTCACCATTATAATTACTGGTAATTTTCAACTATCCCCGCCACAATCCTTATATACCACAAAAACGGGAACAGTGCATATAACTGCTGGGAGACCAGTAATTTGTGTTACCCAAGTAAATTGTTTGTTATTACTTTAATTAACAACACCGATCTTACAAACTTGCAATGCCACTACCATCAAAATCAACATCACTATATCCTTATACCATAAAAATGGACACATTGTAAACTACTGGGAAACATATAATTTGCTTTGGCCAATTAATTAAGTGTTTGTTACTATTTTTAAGTGGACACTTCCAAACGTATACTGCCACTATAACGACCATCACGAACCACTACCCTTTTTGCACACCCTTATATAACAACACATTTTCATTTCCAAATTGGTCGTAAGCACCAACTAACATCATTAGTAATTTAGCTTTCATAATCCTATTTACACAAACTAACCTGAGTTGGTATTCTGCAAGACTACTAAAGGAGTTTGCGATTTCTCTTTAAGTTGTTCGATGTGGGTGTAGGTCTGCCTTCCATCTTTCTTTTGAATGTACAGAAGAACTTCGGAGTGGTTTGTGAAAAGTTGCGATACAAGGTTGGGTAGGGTTCCTTCCTTGACAGCCGACTTGGGGATAAAGGTGAAGCCTCCACCATGAAGAACCATGTCACAGAACACTGTCACCATTTTGTTGTCAACAGATATATCATAAAGTCCACTTGTAGCCCTTGCTGATTTTGTGAGAATATCTTTGCAGGAGATTGGTGGTAAGGAGCCTGGTAGTGAGGGTTTCTAAAAAGAAAAATTTTTCGAACTTTAAAAATATTTACTGTAAATCCTATAAACTTCCCCCACTCAAGTAAGCTCTCCTTTATGCACTCTATCTTTTCCGGCGATGATTATGATGGAAATGGTGCAGGATGTGGAAAAGCTTTAGAGGAGGTACAACCGTTTAGTTCAAGGCTTCTATGGAATATTAGGGCGTATAACGTTCCCCCCTCCTCACCTGTGCGTGAAGTATGCTGCATATCGCATGTACTGTACATATGCATCAATGTATTTCTGAAATATGACAGTACAACTCATCCAATTTTGGTCTTCATTATTTCATATTACTTCAAAGTTTATTTCGAAATGCTGCATCCAAAGGGTATACTGAAGCATAGATGAATGGTTATTGCTGTTTAATTTAATTTTACAGAAAATTAAAATTTTTTCACAAAGTGCAGACACTAAGCAGCGTATAAAAAATGACAAATTTTTGCTTTGTTCTATCATTTTAATTAACCTTTCCCAAGGGAAGGTGCACGACTTTTCAGTGGAGGTGCAAGACGATGCGCTCCTCCCCTCACAATTGGACCATGCGGACTATTTAGCTTCCTCAATATGCAGGGTGTATCAGAAAAAAGTTCACAGTTGGAAAAGTTCACTAAGGTCAGATGCGCGCGAAATTTGCGAAAACTTTCAGTAAGCCTAGTATGTACCTTAACGTTCTCTGGTACATCTAGCACTAAAATTATTTAAAATGCTAGCGTTTTTAGAGTAGGAAAGATGTTACTAAAAATGCCCTCCATTTCGTTCTACGTTCTACGTGCCCTCCTATGTTGAAGATTGATTTTGTTTGTAAATAAACACTGCATGTAAATAATTTTGTGAAAGGACCTTTGGAAATGCATGGCTTACTAATTTCGTACTGTAATTTATGCAATGCGAGCATGCATAAAATTAATTTGATATCATGCGAGGAAAACGCGTTTGAACTAACAAAATGAGAGACAATCCAAGTTTTGAAGATCTCATGTTGGCCTACGCGTGCACCTTGGGGTAATCTTTGTTGGAAGTTATATACTAACTCTTCAACAACCTAATGACTGTTTTTAAAGCAAAGCAATTGAAAGGAAAACTTATATTTTCATACGAAGAAGATGAGTGGCGATATTTATGTTGTACTGTTTTGAGCAGATGCTTCGATAAAACATGATATGATCGGACCTTGTATCTTAAAAGTGTGCTTGGAACAGCCAAACAAAGTGGTAAATTGTGTTACCCGGTGTGTTGGGCATCATAATTCACAGGAATAGTACACAGTGGCGTTTGAACTGGCTATGAAATATCGTGAATATTTCGTCGAGGTCAAGTTGCACTTGTATATCTCATTTCGAAAACGATATACATATAAAACAGGTATATTTGTACGGCGAAATTAAACTGCTGCAACAAAGTTTTTATTTCTACTTTCACGTTCTTATTCCAAAGCAAACACTTCTAAGTTGGAAATGCCTAAAATTGTGAGCGTAAAAACACTAAAGAAACAAGAAAACGACTTCATAACACGAGTAGTTTTGGCAAATTTGATTTTTGTTTTTATAATTCAGTCACGCGATTAACCCGCGCTCACGTGCACTCCATGCTTACGTTTCTCGCGCATGCGTAGACGAAAGTCCACCCTGTTATAAGGTTGGTATTTCCCATTGCTGTGATCGAAAGTAACATATATAAGAAATTTACTACACGTATATTTGCTTCTGGTGTGATTTTTATAAGTTAAATTGCTCGAACGTTTTGTGGATCGTTCTTTTCTCGTTTTATCTGCCAAACGTGGTCATCTCCGAGCCGACGGCGCGAAGCGCCGTGCGAGGGTACTAATTCCCCCCAGCTATTTACACCCGGGGAAACGAAAGCATTAGCCAAGTCTAAAGTTCATCAATGTGCGCGGACGTGGGATACCGTGAGCAGTTCTGTGGGTGGTGGGTGGTCATCCTCACTGATCTCAAAAATATGGCAGACTGTCATGAATAGCGGACACTGATTGGTCCAATTTAAAGTTTGCATTATAACGACTGTCGACTGTATGACGACAGCGAAATAGCAAACATTTCTTGATTTGATGATTGATAAATTTCTTGCAAATATATTTAATTTTTGCTCGCATTTTTGCAAGATTTTGTAAATTTCAAGAAAGAAAGGGCGAAAGAATCGGCTAAAAGAAGGGAGCCGACGTCAACGAAGGTAAGTTTGTTTTAAATATTGATTTTATAATTACTTTAAAACCCGACGGCCGCTTTGGCCCTTTGGCTTTGCGTATATGAAACAACTAAACAAGACAGCATATAATTTCAGTGTATTAATAATATTGATTCCCTTTTTTATTAGGCCTATATTGAATTTTTTAAATAAAAAAGAAAGCAAAATTATTTGCATGCGAGAATTTGAAATCATTTTATTGCAAACTCAAAGTTTATCGATAAAGCCATTTTAATAATTAAAGGCAATTTTAAATAGTTTTATAAAGAACATTTTAAAACGTTTTGCGAAGCTTTTGTGGTTGAATTTTACCTTAAATTGAAGCTTAAATAACGTATAATAACATACCTAACATATATATGTTGGGAAATTGATAATTTTGTAATTAAAAGTGATATTTTTAGGCGATTTTTCATTTGTAAGAATATTCTTAAAAAATTATCGTGTTACCATGACAACAACTTTGGAATGGTTTTGTCAGCAAGGCGAGGGTTTCTGCATGCATGTATTTTCTAGTTTATATTATTTTGTGATAGCCAAATCCGTCGTCCCTATATATACAGACTGTTGTTTTCTTTGCCAAATTTTTCCCTAGATGGTTTAGTATGAAAAGGCCAATACAAGTTCACAAACTTCAGCTCCGTCGTATAGCTGCCCATGCATGGCAAATAAACGATCCACGGTTTCCATTATTGAAAACTAGTGATTTCCTAGCCAGTTTTATTAAGTTTCATGCCACTATTTGTGGCAATCTTCAGGCGATTAAATTCAGTTTGTTGCGAATATCTCGGATCTTTTGTTCAATGTTACATGTTTGTTTGTATCCATCATATGCAGAGTTTTTCTTCTACGCAGAGATTGCAACGCTTTGCAATTGCACCAGATGAGTATGCGCCTGCCCGCTTCAGAATTGACCATTTTAGAACTGACCGCGCCATCGTTTGGGCTAGATCTTTAACAACAATCCCGGAAGAAGATATTTCCATAATCCAGCATGCGCGAAAATCACTTTTGTTCAACGGCGATACAGTTTGGACAAAACAAAGTAGCGATTCATTATTTGATGTAACAATGGGCAGCTTTGATGGAGCGGAGATCTGCGAATTGGTTCGTTTGTTCGTTCTGAGTAAGCTCGCGGAGACGTTTGGTAAAGAAAATATTGGGCTATACCCCGATGATGGCCTAGCATTAATTGAAGGCGTTAATGGAAGATAGGCATTAATTGAAGGCGTTAACGGTGTCATGAAAGAGTATATAGGAATGACGGCGACTACTTTCTAAGAAAGATATGGAAATTATAAGAAATCCTTCAAACTTCGAAGATATAAAAACGACACAGAGCTGTCAAAGGCATCTGAAGGGCTACAGAGTAATAACAGAGACACCTTAAAATTGTCAATTCTGAAGCGGGCAGGCGCTATACTCATCTGGTGCAAAGCGTTGCAATCTCTGCGTAGAAGAAAAACTCTGCATAATGGATGCAAACAAACATGTAACATTGAACAAAAGACCCGAGATATTCGTAAAATGCCAACATCGCGAGAAATTTTGGGCGGGAAATTTTGAACGCGCGTGTCAATAATGACGGTGCACGTCAGCAAACTATAGATCACGCCATTATAACGAACTGAATTTAATCGCCTGAAGATTGCCACAAATAGTGGCATGAAACTTAAAGTAGCGACAAATTGAAACATTTTAAGATAACAAATTAATTCGCTCGCTAAATATTTGTAGTATTGAGCACTCTTTTATCTATAACGAAAAACAAGACTGTATATATATATATATATATATATATATATATATATATATATATATATATATATATATATATATATATATATATATATATATATATATATATATATATATATATATATATATATATATATAATTATATATATTAAAAATGACGCCATGCACAGCTCTCAATTCTCTCAAGGATTCTGTTTTCTATTAGCTCCAGCTCTAGTTAAAGTAGAAATATTAAAAGAGGTGGTCATGATCACCTAAGCATATCCCTGCATGGATAAACCCAATTTCCAGAAAAAAACCCAGTGGTTTGAGGTGGAGTGAAAGGGGAAGCACGAAACTGGCCGATCGATATCAATATCTGGTTTATAAGTAGATGTAAAATACGTTAACCATAACCATCATGTTTACCAAATATAAAACATTTACCGTGTTGATACACAGTTATATCAACACGAGTAAAAATTGGAATTACGAGAAATCGTGATAGCACCGTGTTGACATTCAATTATATCAACATGGCTCTTAGCCAATTAGCGTTCACAATTTACAAGTGGTATATTATATATAGAGAATAATACATGGGTGCGCGGAAATACCAGATTTATTTCGAGTGTTGAACATGATATCTCACGAGTGAGCGCAGCGAAAGAGTGAGATATCATGTTCAACACGAGAAATAAATATGGTATTTCCATGCACCAATATATTTTTCTGTTTATATATAAACAAAATTCAGTGAAAAACAATAAAACGGCCATGGCAATGCGTTTTACAACAAATGATATTTTCACACGCAAGAATATCGTATTTTTTACGTGTGTTTAAATACGATTTTTCTCAGTGGCCAAAAACTCTATATAACACTTATGTTTATATAATAAAAATATTTATAACACGCAAGCATGCCACCTGTGAGACTAATGATCCTTTGGACGCACTGACGCAAAGTCTTAAATTGCTAGTTTATTAAAAACAACATTTACATATGAAAGGCATGGATATATAGTTTAAAAAATGGATAGCAAAACGACCTGACGGCAGCGGACGTGATCTGTTTGATCAAATACTGAACACTCATGCATAATTTCCCTATATACATGGTTTTGCACAGTTGAAGCAACGTCTTTATATATTCTTTAGCTCAAATATATAAACCGATTTACCGATTCTAAAAGCTTTGTAATTTACTGATGCACATGATCCATCTTCAATGCAATTTATACAACATTCTAGCTCGCTTTCTTCCCTATTTGTTCCAATGACATGATTCGCTAAAACCCAGCGCACACTAGAGCTTCCAAAATGTCATTCGTGGCAGCGTGCTTAAGCAGGAAGCTCTAGTGTGCTGTGAACGTTTTCGAGCTGTTTGTCACTCGTGACTCGTCGCACAAATATTCAACTCAGGCATGTTGAATAGGTTTTGCACCATGCGTTGACGAACTCCTGTTCGTGTGCGCTGAAACTGAATGAGCAAGTTTACAATAACTTAATCACTCGAGTCACGAGCAACAAGAAACTCGAAGTTCACTGCACATGCACTACAGTATATAGAGCGTACTCGGCTTGAACACGCTGCCACGATCGAATGACATTTTGCATTGCTAAGCAGAAAGCTTTAGTGTGCGCCGGGCTTAAGTAATATTGTTCTTTTCTGCGAAAGATGGCTTTCCTAATCAAATCCCTCATTCTAAGACAGATGAATTAGCCCGTATTCAGCGCACAGTGCTATAATTTGCTCTGCTAGACAATTAATGGCTACAGAGTTAATAAGCTATATATAGTAAGCATTTGGGCATGTCGTTATAAAATTTTATGCAATTTGATTGACTATTCTGTGCATCCTCATTTAAATTTGCATCATATGTTATGGATCAATTTATGTGAGCCAAAATATGTCGCAGCGCTTCTAAATTGGTCACGAACGACTCGTATAATAAACAGTCTATTTCTAATAAGTAATAACGAGGAGTTTTCGAAACTTCTCTATAACATATCTTCAATATAATTGCATAAATAACTTCTATTTCACCGCGGCGGGCAAGCCTGTCAAATTTATAGGTTCTTATAGATTAGTGTATTCTTATATAAGGAAATGCATGCATGCATGTGCATGTATTTGCCTATTGGGCCTATAAATTTCATAAATGTAAATTTTTGCAGCTGTTGCAATAAGGTAAATAAGAGTTATGGTAAATAACACGTTTACCAGAACACAAAAAATTGCGTTAACATTATGCTTGCAAGCCCCAAACGTATCAGTATGTTTAATTGCATGTCATAAAGACAAAGGTCTGTGTTTATATATAGCAACGTTGAGTGCAGTGTACAATATCAAGTCGTTTGAAAATGTATGGTGTCTTGAAAATTGTTGAAAATCGTCGAGTTCTTCAAAATAGTGAAAGCATTAAAATGTATGGAGCTTGAATATTTTCAAGGTTCTACATGCACGTATATTCTTGAAAATGTAGGTAAGATAATTAAATTAATTGCCTCGCTTTATTTCAGCGCATGATTTATCCCTCAGCATGCAAATGCTGTTTTACACAAAGTACACTTTGCATGTATTCCCAAATTAAGAGAAAAACGACTAACAGTATATATTTGTACACTATTTAAAGGGGGCTAGTTAACTCTCGGGTTAAAAAAATACAATCTTTTCATATATAAAGAGAGTATGCAATTATAACAGCTGCAGCATGTCCGTATATACAGTGATGAACGATGCAAAAATGATTTAATTCGAGTTCTGAATGAATGGCGTACAATCTTGACCGAAAGACTTTTTCGAACCGTTCAAAATATCCACCATACACCACTTTCAATTCTGTCAAGGATTCTTTCTCCTCCTAGCATCAGCTCCAGTTAGTAGAAATATTACAAGAGGTGAATGGTGACCTAAACATATCCCTGTTTGGAGAACCTGATTTTCCAGAAAATATACAGCGGTTTGAGCTTGATTTAAGCGGGAAGCACGACACTTCCCGATATGTTTCATCACAACATTATCTGCATGATTTATAAATAAATGAATAACATCTTCACTAGCTATAACCATTACATATCACTAAAAGCTAACACTGTTATAACACGTAAGCAACCTCTTATAACTACAGCAGTATCGAATAATGAACTCAGGGTTATGTTTACTTCCATCAGCATCAGATGCCTCTTGTAGTGTTTTACTGTTGAGCTCACATAAACCTTTACCGATTCCAAACGTTTTATAATTTACTGACGCACATGATCCATCTGCAACGCAATGCATGCCACATTCTAATTCGATTTCTGCTTGTTTTGTTTTTATGATATGATTCGCTAAGTAAGTTTGCTCCTTTCTGCGAAAGATAGCTTGCTCAGCGGTCGAACATTTGCCTGGTTGTGTTATTTGCGAGACAAAAATTAACGCACAAATGCTTAATACGACAGCCATTGTGAGACTACAATGATGCAAGCCTTAGGGCGCACAGTCTTAAATTGCTAGTTTAATAAAAACAGCATTATTTTGCATATGAAAAGCATGGATAGTTTAAAAAATGGACAGCAAAGCAAGCTGGCCGCAGCGGACGTGACCTGTTTAAAAGTCGTGATGTCACGAATATTCTTCGCTGTCCCAAATGCAAACTTGTCAAATACTAAATAACAGCGCACACTGGAGATTTCTGTTTAGCAAAATGTCATTCGTGGCAGCGTGCTTAAGAGAGGATGTCCACAAAAATCAAACATAAAGCGGCCACGACTGAAAAATCGATTTTGCTCAAATTTTGCCCAGATATACCTTATTATATCGGAAAATTCACCATATATTTTTTTAGGTCAAATGCTTTTTTAACTTTGAGAAAATGCCGTTTTAACACGACCACCCTAAATCGCCATTTTTTCTGGGAAAATATGCGCTGATTTTACAGATAAATTTCACGACGACAACCGTTTCTAATCGATCTAAAACCCTAAAAATCTTGTTTTCGGTTATTCAAAGGACTGTGTACATGACTTACAGGAAATCTGAGATACTTTTAGGAATAGAAATAATCGTAGTTTTGGAGCACACTATCTTACTTCATTTACGATACCCTCTTAACAAAATCGATTTTCACCATGCGATAAAGCTCCAAATCAATCATGCTTCTACTAGTTGGCTCTTTAATAAACAAGCTTTCAATTGACGTAAATACTTCTTTTGGCAAATGAATACGCGATAAACGACAGCGCGTTGAAATCTTCCGCTTTTGACGTCTTGCAAGTCAAACGCTGTTAATTTATTCCCCCGTCGAAGTAAACAATTTAATCAAGTATTCTAAGTATTTTACCTTTTGAGAAAAAACATATTCTTGAATGGGGACTTTTCGCTTTGCTAAGTTTAAAAGTGGTCCAGAAACCCCAGTATATTTGTAAAAAAATCATCACACATCCAGTATTTTGAGACATTGTTGACGGTTGTATGATAACTTCAGATCATTATTCAACGTGATCTACGACCCGGCCGTTTGACTTTAGCGCTAACATAAACAAATCGATGAGCTATTTAAGGATTATATTTGCTACTAAATTCCCCAAAAGAATTGGAACTACAACTGCTGTTTTCAGAGGTATTGATCCATTTTGTCCATATTAATGTACCATTTTATTTATCGACTGATGTTTACAAATACGTAAGTTATTTATTAAGCAGCTGTTAGCGTGCGTGTACATGTGAAATGAACGTTTATAATGTTTATCCATATAAGGAGTTTTTATTTTTAGTTTACCAGCCCTTATATTTGAATAGTCGTTTTCTTTCAAGTTGTTTTCTTTTTTATACCATACCTAATTTTAGTGTGCAGTGATAACCAATTTGTGCAGTGATAAAACTAAAATGTGCAGTGATAAAATGTAAAATGTGCAGTGATAAAATTTGCTGTGATAAGTTGTTAACAATTAACACGAAAATCCAGGCAATGAGCAGAAGAACTGAGCTAAAAATTCGTCTTGACACTCCTTGACAGTATTAATCAAAACATTTTGAATGAGAACAATTTGAATGAAATTGAAATGATAGCTGCCAAATCATCGAACGTGCACTAATATTATACTTCAGGTTTATCAGATGAACAAAGTCTCGCACCAAAGGTTCCTTTATGAGTCTGGATGATAAAGTGAATGATACTTATCTTTTTGTAATTAGTGTGTAATCTTCAGAATTCTATAGAATGTCTTTGCACATTGCATAAAATCCCCTTTTAGAGAGCCTAGATTACAAAATTTTCTGTGGGTGCATGCCCTTGGAACTCCTCTAGAGGTTTGTCCTAAGCTGTCTAAGCTGCCTCTAATTTGCCAATACGAAAATATTTTTTTCTTGCAAGTATGTGATTATGAAACTATGCCGTCACAGATAGTTGAAACTATAGGTGCTGTCAAAGGGGGCAATTTTTCCTGGAGCCTTAGTTAAAGGAGGGCCGAAATAAAGAATTATGTAAAATATACATAGATATAACTGTCAAAAGACTTCCAGAATGCAGGATTTGACCATTTCTGGGACCTCAGATTTTAAAATTTTCCTGGGAAGAATGCCCCGGCCCCCCTAGTGATAGTGTTAGAAGATGGAATCATGTGGGGCACCAAGTCAAATTTGGCCCTGGGTACCCAAATATCCCTGGGCAACCCTGCGTGTTGTGTTGTGTTGTGTTGTGTTGTGTTGTGTTGTGTTGTGTAGTGTATGTTGGTTTTTGGCATTTTTCAATATCAATTGTAGCCTGTTTTGTGCATAGTAGTTACACATTGTGTGTGTTCAGTGTGTTCAGAAATTTTCAGGGCGTGCTTCTGCTCGGCTAAACTTTGCGCAAAAATGTGCAGTGATAAAAAATTCTTAAAATTAGGTATGTTTTATACTCTGCAAAGTTGATTCCGAAATGTTAAGGTATTCGAAAAAACTATTGAACTTTTCCATGATATTTACAGAGAAACGTCACAGCTGTAAACCCCTTCCCACCCCCCCAAAACGAACATATGACGTTTCTTGTGGAAAAATCGATATGTGAGGCTTCCCTAATACTGCAAGGTTTACACTATTGAATTAAAATCCCACAGACCACAACGATTATACGTATTGATTGTTTCTTGACGATAGTATAGACGCGTACGTGCATGTTGCGGAAGAGGTTATTTCGCTGGCCTCAGAGTGATAAAAGGTGCTCTGGTTCTAGAGGTTTAAAATAATAAACCTCCGTTTGAAAGTGGCAATTAATTCATCTAGCCGGGCCAATCAGCTTGAATTAGGGTAAATAGTTATGATAAGACAAGGGCGGCGCCAGGGCCGCCCATGCAGGGAGGCGGCAAAGGGAGCAATTTTCTCCGCGACCCCAGCTCAAGGAAGACAGGCAAATACAAATTTGCAAGACGATAAAAAGTTTGTCGACGGAGGGGGGTAATTGTGGTTCACCGGGGCCCCAAGGGTATAATTGGCCCTGGGGCCCCATATTTCACTGAGCTGGTTTGGGCTGCGCCAGTATTTCTCCGACGGGGGGAGTCATCAGTGCTCTCTTTTGCTCTTTGTCAATTGGCATTAAAACCGCAAGAACTACCGACAAGTAACCAGGGCCGGATTAACGTCGCGCGAGGCCCGTGGCAAATTTTAGCGCGAGGCCCCCAAACCTCCCCCTTTCTTCTTTTTATGAAAACCATTGAATTTAAAGACACACAAAAGTGTTAAATAATTTTTTTCAATATTTCAATTTATTTGCATCAATTATAAACGAGATAATGGCCTGCCTGGCGCAGTTGGTGGGTATAAACAGGATCATAATATAACAGCTCAACGCAACTAAAGATTATATGAACACGAGTATTGCATATTTTCCCGGGGCCGTGCTAGGGCGAACTGCCAAACCTAGGGGCCCTAAATGCGCGAGGTCTCTAAATTGGGGAGGCACCTAAAATGGGTGTATCCCAATAGAAAATGGCCGTGTTCTCGTAAAAATGGGCGTAGCACAGTAAAGCGCGAGGCCCACGGCATTTGCCGTATTTGACACGTGGTTAATCCGGCGTTAAACGAGCAACAAGCTTTCATTTTCTTTAAACGCGACGTATGGGGAGACAATAATAATTTGTGATGTCGCACTGGGCCAAAATACTCAATGCTGTATTTTTGGGTACTAGTACTTGTGAAATATAATAAGATCAATAGACATTAGTGTATCAAAATAAAGTAATTTTACTGATTATTTTAACTGTGCATCAAAGTAACACACATTATTCTAAACTACAGTATTTGCTATATGCCTATAATTTGAGTTTGAGGTGGTAGAATATATAATAAAATAACAAATCCTTGTATGGATAAATGTTCATTTCACACGCACGCTATTAACAGCTGCTTAATAATTAACTTATGTATTCGTAAACATTTATACTTGATAGTCGATATGTAAATACTAAATGGTACATTATATGGATCAATGCAAACTGGAACAAAACAACAATTGTCAATTGAAGTTCTAATTTTGGGAAATTTAGTAACAAATATAAAATCACTAAACAGCTCATCGATTTGTATGTTTGCGCTATTAAAAATAGACAATATTGAACAATGATCTGAAGTTGTCATGCAACTGACAACAATATTATATTTCAAAATACCTGTATATGATGATATTTTACAAATATCTCGGGATTTTTGGACCAATTTTAAACTAAGCAAGGTAAAAATTCTCCATTCAAGAATATATCTTCTTCTCAAAAGGTAAAATACTTAAAATACTTGATTAAGTTGTTTACTTCGACGGTATGTAAATTAACAGCGTTTGACTTGCAAGACGTCAAAAACGGACGATTTCAACGCGCTGTCGTTTATCGCGTATTCATTTGCCCAAAGAAGTATTACGTCAATTGAAAGCTTGCTTATTAAAGAGCCAACTAGTAGAAGCATGATCGATTTGGAGCTTTATCGCATGGTGAAAATCGATTTTGTTCAGAGGGTATCGTAAATGAAGTAAGATAGTGTGCTCCAAAACTACGATTATTTCTATTCCTAAAAGTAACTCAGATTTCCTGTAAGTCATGTACACAGTCCTTTGAATAACCGAAAACAAGATTTTTAGGGTTTTAGATCGATTAGAAACGGTTGTCGTCGTGAAATTTATCTGTAAAATCAGCGCATATTTTCCCATAAAAAATGGCGATTTAGGGTGGTCGTGTTAAAACGGCATTTTCTCAAAGTTAAAAAAGCATTTGACCTAAAAAAATATATGGTGCATTTTCCGATATAATAAGGTATATCTGGGCAAAATTTGAGCAAAATCGATTTTTCAGTCGTGGCCGCGAAATGTCTCATATGTTCGATTTTTACTGACATTCACTCTTAATATATTATGATTTATATTATCAAATGCTTTCTGCAAGTCAAGAAATACTGCAATATTGAATTGACCACGGTCCATATTAATGAACCATTCGTTA